CAAAGCAGAAAGCAAACCCAGAGAACCAAATGATAGAAGAAAAATATCAGAACAAGTTATAGAACATTCCGTATCGACATAAAATTTTCAGAACCATTAAAACCCCCCAAATATGTGCTATTTCTAAGTCATGGCTACAAAAACCTGTCACCCAAGGCTAAGAAGACAAAGGAAAGTCTATGGGAATGGAAGCACTGTTTGGGCACTCTGCATATACATGCAAATTTTAGAATCAGCTTGTCAATCTTCACAAAAATAAATCTGGTGGGATTTCACTTAATGTCAAGGCTTGCTCCTACACAAATTTGAGAACTGGCAATCCTTACAATACAGAGATAATTCACAGAGATGATCCATTCCTCCGTTTTAAACAGGTCTTTGATTCTTCTCCTAAATGTTTCCTAGTTTTTGCTGTAAAGGTTCTGCATGTCGATATATTCTTACATCTTTTCTTTCTTACACTATTGGGATCCGTTGAAAGTTCATTTTATTATAAATAAGGGGCGCTGGTAGCAGAGTGGGTCAGTCCTTTGAGTTCACCAGCCAAGCAGGAATCAATGAGGGAAGACGCGAGGTTTCCTATCAAGGGGTTTTTCCCCATCAAGGTGTGTGTGTGTTTGTGTTCTGTCAAATCGAATCTGACTGGTACAGGAGATTGCCCTTCCTTCTCCAGCAGAGCATCTGGTGGATTCGAACCATGTACCTCTGAGATTACAGTGCAGGTTCTGGCCACTAGGTCACCAGAGCTCCCTTCTACCATCAAGTTTTACAGCCTTGGAGTCCTATACGTCAGAACAACGTGACAGTAGATTTTGTTTGGTATACGTTGTTTTCATATGCTGTCGAGTAGTCTGCGACCCATAGACACCACTATGAACAACAGCTCTGAAGCCCTATCCTGAGCCAGTCTCACTGATTCCACACACCAACCCAGTTAATCTATCAATCCATCTCACCCAGGGTCTTTCCTCTCCTGCGCTGTGCCTCTATTCTTTGGAGCATGATGTCCTTCTCCAAGGACCAGTCTCTCCTGGCCAACTGCTCCAGATATTTGAGACAGAGCTTCAATTTCCTAGCCTCCAAGGAGAAATTTGGTTTCATCCTCTCCAAGACAGACCTATTTGTTTTCTTGGCAGTCCACTGGTATGTTCAAGACTCTTCTCCAGCACCACAATTCAAAGACATTTGATTCTTCTGTCATCCTTAGTCATTGTCCAGCTCTCTGATGCAAAGCAATAGAAACTTTTCTTTTCAATGTTATGTGCCATTGAGTCACTTGAGACTCATACCCTATGTACAAAAGCCCTAAACCCTGCTCTATCCTGAGCCAACTCCATTGTCTCTGATACCCATTAGCCCAGTCACTGAGTCATCCATCTCTTCAAGACTCTTCCTCTCTCGCTCTGTCCCTCTCCAAGGACAGGTCCCTCCTTATAACATGTCAAGTATGTCAGACAAAGCTTCAGAACCCTTGCCTCCAAGGAACAGCCTGGTTTCACCCTCTCTAGAACAAACCTGTTTGTTCTTAGTAGTCCATGGTATACTCAATACTCTTCTCCAACACCACAGTTCAAAGGCATCAAATTCTCCTTCTATCATCCCTAGTCATTATCCAGCTTTCTGATGAATAGCAATTGTGAAGACCATATCCTGGATGAGGGGTATCTTAGTCTTTTTAAAAAGTATGGACTTTATATTCAGTGATCTACCTAAATCTACTTATATTCTTTTGGATTAACAAAGAATTTTTTATTTTCTCAGACTAGCACACTGGCTAGAGCTAGTATGATGGTAAATGAAGTGTGACAGTAAACATCCTTATTCTTTTTCACTTTTTACAAAGTAGCATTCAATTTTACGGTACTCTGAATTTATATTGTAGTTTAATTGATTTTCAAGTATTAAATAACACTCTATTTTTGCAGTAATAAATCCAGACTAGATCCAATGCATTATCCTTTTTATATATTATTGCTGGCTTTCATTTGCTTGTTTTATTTGGGGACTTTGTCTACACTTGTGGGCAAGGTTGGCCCTATTTTTCTTCCTTTTGATGTCCTTAACAGGTTTTGGTGGCAAAATGCTGCACCTGAGGTTTGGGGGGCTATCATGGCCCAGTGGGTAGAGATGTGCTGCCAACCAACAGCAGTCTGAAGCCACCATTGCTCCGAGAGAGAAAGATGGGCCTTCTCCTACCATGTGGTTTATAGCTTCTGAAAACCCACTGGAAAGCCGGCTATGAGTCAGTTTCATGGCAATCAGACAGACACTGCTCCTACAGTCCATCAGGAATGGTTCTGTTTCTGTATTCTTGAAGTTATATGACATTAAGGTTGATCTATTGCTATTCATCAATCTTACTAAGGGCTTACCAACTTTATTGTTTTCAGAGATGATTTTCTAATTCTACTGGAATTTTTTGGTTGCCTCTTTGGTATTCTTCCTTTCACTTTTAAAATTTGCTATTATTTTTCCAGTTCTACTATAAGAAAATTTAAAGCACTATTAAGCTTGTCTTGTAACACGAACTTAAGGTTAGATTTCGTTAGGCATTGCTTTAGATGCACACCTCATGTTCTGAGGTGGCATGTTTCATCCAATTAAAATTTCCTCATTTTTTCTTAGTCTTATGGGTACTTTAGGATGTACTGTTTAGTTTCAAACAACTGAAAAGGGATTTTCTTTTCCTTGGCTTAATCCAATTCCACTGTGGTCAGACATTCTATTATAAGGTTTTTGCTTGACAGCCAGCTTTGTCCAATTCCGGTATATTCTTCATGTACAAGTACAAAGAATATGCATACCTTTGGTTCAGAATACTGCATTCTCTGGCATTCAAATTTCTGGCTTGATATAACTGCTGTTGAATTTTGGAAACTTTTAATTCTATAATGTATCAGAAGGGATAATTTCATTCAATGGATTCCTATTCCAAAGGCTTTCCTTGAGTTTTTCAGTAGTAATTATCATGGATATATCCCTTTCTCCAGGAGGAAATAAACAGGGGAATCACAGAGGTGGATATAGTAGGTATGCTTTGAACACTATCGATGGCTATCCTTGCCCTGCTCCATCACTCAGTCAGAGGGTCTCTAAAGCCTTTGGGAAAAAACCCTCCAAACAACAAAACACAACACCTGGTTTAAATCCACTAGATGCTCCACTAGAGAAGGAGGGAAATCTCTCCCTGTGCCAGTCGGATCTGATTTCGAGGGTTGGTACACTGAAAAGGGAGGGGGGGAAAAAGGAAAAAAACCCAACACTGAAACACACCTCTACCCCCACCCAAAAAAACCCTACTGCCGGAACCAGGGTCAGCTGTGTCTCATTTAAAGTGGACAGACCTCTAAAGAGAAGCAAGGGAACAACACTGGAGATGTGGTCAGAGTGCTGAGCACAGGAAAACAGGAAAGATAGCCTATGATAAAGCGTCTCAAGCATTCTCTTTATTTCCCAAATGGATACCATGTCCTGGCTACTACAGGCAGAATTTTGTTCCAGGAAGGCTACTTTATCTGATATAATGTACCACTGTAGTCTCCCAAACAGCTTTCATGTCTCAGCTATACTCCTCCTGAGAGATCTGTTCACAAAAGGACCATAAAGGTTCTCTTGGGAGGGGCAGTATAGTTGTGTGTTGTATACAGTGGACAGAAGCAAAGCTCACAAAGTGCCTTAGTAGCTCTATATTGACAGAATAAAATCCTCAATTCAAATGGAAATTTATTTTTACAAAGTAACAGAAGCATGTTTTATTTCAGTCCTGTTGAGGGGAGTGAGAGAGAGGGGAAACATAAAAGGAGGGGAAGGATCTCTTATACACACACATACACACAAGATCAACAACAAGGAGTAATACCCATTTCCACTGCTTTCCCTCCCCAATCCTATGTGGAGTCCAAGATCAGCTGAGGGAGAAAAGATGGGGGAAGAATTAAGACACTATTGGCACAGTAATGTGGCCAATGCACCGAAAGATGGAGAAAATGTCCCAGGGAGTGAGGCCCTGGCCCTCAGCTGCTTCTCCAGTGGAGGAAAAATGAGAAAACTTTGGCTCAATAGGAAGGAGGTTTGCAAAAGTCAGGGTTACCCAAGTGGACATTCCAGACCACAGACTATGGACTGAAGAGAGTTAAAACATGTACTCAGCCCATGATATTCTCACCGTTCTCCAAAACATCTCCTCTCCAGGCTTGTAACTATTGAGATGACCTGTTTCTCCTCATTGTTTTTAGAAGGCAGCAGACTAAGTGCTTTCCTATATCTAGGTTACTTAATTACCACTTTCTTGGCTCTAAAGAGACAGAAGCCAACTAACAAGGCCGGCTCCCTTTGTGAAAGTCGGCTTGAATAGAGCCCTTGTGTTGGTAAAACTGCCTCTGCAAAGGTTTCTCTGAGCATGCCCTGAAGAGGAGACCTTCCCCACCGTTGCTCAGAGACAACAACTATGTGAGATGTGGACAGAAAAAATTTGGTCCCTCTCTAGAGCTGGATTAGCAATACTGTCTTTTAGATGGGGACAAAATAGCAGGTGTTGGCAGAGGTAAAGACGCTGGTATAAAGCAAGGCAATTTATACCAGGTTACATCCTCAAGCCTCTGAATTTGGAGTGGAGCTGTTAAAAGCTCCAGGAGCAGGGAAGTGAATTCTCTGATACAATATGAATAAGTAGAAAATATTTTAGTGGTAACCCTGTAATTCCCACAGAACAAAAGGGAATGTGGCAAAAGAAAAACATGAGTGAATAAGCATAGCTCAAGCCTCTATCTTAAATCAGGAATAATAACATGGACACATTTAATTAATACTGTTTCAGATACAATCATGAAGGCAGCGGGGGCTGCTCAACTTCACACTAAAGCCAAGAACTGATCAAGCAGCCAGTCACCTCAATACCAAAAATCTCCCTTTTAAAAGTCATCCAAATGTATCTTTGAGGAGTAAGATTGAAGGTGAGGTCTCTCTCAACCAGTACAAGACTTCCAGGACAACCTGATGAATTAAGACATCTATTTTAAGTTTAACAGGAGGGGAGTGAAAAAGGGAAAGCATTGTGATTTGGGAAAACTAGAGGCTAAAGCCAGAAACAAGGTTAAGGTCCTCGTGGCATCCAAGGGGTAGGGGAGTAGGAAAGGGAAGTGAAAAAGGCGGTGGTTCCCTGCCATCTTTTGGCTTCACACTTTCCCTCGCTTCTCACTCCTCTCAAGAGCTCAATGCAGCTCACGGCCTGCCAGAAGGGATCTAATGCCCAGACCAACTTTTTATTGAGCTTATATAGCTAACAAACTTGTAAACAGTGCCAAGTGATAAAGTTCTGCTTGTCCAGCTTTGTGTCCACTAAGCACACCTCTCTCTTAGATTAAAAAATAAAACAAAAAAGTCCAAAGTAAACAAACACTGAGAGAGAGAATGAAGAGACACATCTTGAGTCTTCCAGGAAGGCAAAATAAAAAAAATGCCACATGGCTTGGTCCCAGGCTTCCACCATGCCTAGAATACTGCTGCTCTTCACTGTCTCCCCTCCTTGCAAGGCAGAGGTGGAGACAAGGTCATCTTGGGCATGCTGCAAATACAGCATTTGCTGGTGTTGACACCCTCCTGGGCTGTGGTGGCAGACTGCTCTGTCAGGAGCCCACTTCCTGGGAGTAGTAGATGGGAGCCCAGGTTCTCAAGGCAGCTCATACACCTCAGCAGGGGTCCTTTGTCCCCTTCTCCAGTCCGGTTCAGCATTGAGGTTGTCTATTCCCAGTCGACGATAAAACCTGAGCTGTTTTCCTCGCAGGTTTCCTCTCCCTTCCCCAGTACAGGGCAGTAGCAGGAGAGGACAGAGAGGATCACTGAGGAGGAAGCGGGATCCCCCGGGGGTCGGTGACCTGGCCCTCTTGTAGATTTTTCACCAATTGTGCAAGCCAGCGTTTTGTGGTGGTGTCATCTTTTAGCACCTGGGCGAAGGTCGTATCCTTTAGCTGGTCTGGAAGGCACTGTCTGAGTGCTTCACGTGCCCTATTGTCAGAAACAAACAACCAAGGAGAGACCAACAATAAATCCACGTTTTGGGGTGATAAAGAGTTCTTTTCTTAGATACAAATATTTAGAATTCTGAAAATTTATAGTTTTGTTAAGGCATGAAATTTCTGTAAGTTTCTTGGAAGACAATGTGTTTGTATATATATATTTTTTAAAAAAATATTTTTTATTGTATGATTAATATTTTTAAATATTCCACATTCCCTTTAATAAAGCATTTCCCCCAACAAGTGGTGAACAGTTTTATGGCTTACTTAAAAAACTTAAGTGAGAAAAACAGCCATTTACCACACTAATACTGGGTTTTCATTCCCCTTCCTTTTTTAAAGGAAATGTCATTAACATAGAAAGAGTTCCAAAAAACTTTAAAAATTTCTCAGCAAGTACTTGTACATTCTTAATAAGAATCAACAAAAATAGAGTTTCAAGAAACAAACAAAAAAAGTAACTACTTAAAGCTTCTAGTACACCTAAATTCAGAGGTCTCCAGTCTACCAATATTTTCGAAATGATGCTTCAATGTAGAATATCATTAAAGCAAAGTGGAATTAAAAGGTGCAAATTTAATCAAATTGCTTCTGACTCATTATAGTAAGTACTGCCAAAATAACCACGAGAAATACATAAACATGTTCTGGGTTACAGTAAAGAAAACATTATAAAAATACATTAATAGGGGACATGACTACTTCAATTTTTAGTTAAAAATTTGTAAGGAATGAGTAGTAAAACAAAAAGACAGCATATTATCTGAATCAACTTTTTTTGTTTTGATTTTTTCTTTCATGGCTAGAGGGTCCAAGGATGGTGGGTTACTAGGGCTTCTCACTCCTAAAAAAACCCCCTTCAAATGTTTTATTTTCTTTAAAAAAGATCACCAGAAAGCCAAGCCTAAACATTTAAAAAGGCAAGTCTTAAACTAGTTATAGGATTATTAAAAGTTAGTTATTTAATTGAGTCTAGTTTGTATAATTAGAATTTTAAGTAAGTCAAGTACTCGAGAACAGAAAAAAATAGCAAGGGCTTGAATAACCTCAGTGGCAGGAAAGCAAGTTCATTAAATCTAGTTATGCCTTCCATTCCTAGGAACACAGAAATCACCCCATTATGTGGTTTAATCTAATCTGAGCAAGTGGCTTTCAGCATGAATTATGGATTTACAAAGCAAAAGGTCAAACATTTCTAAAATGCATTTTATCTACATTGCATGATTTCTGGCAGAAAGACTATGAACACAGAGATAAAAAATTGGTTCAAGGACCTTACAGAAATTACGAGAACCGGAGATATAACTCTTTAAGAGTTATCCATTCCTTTTTCAGAGAGCTTTGAAAATATTCTTTCTGACCACCTACAGCACCAAAAGAATACTCAAAATACAGTTACGAAAAGCATCATAAGGCTTTCCTGGGAACTGACTTGATTCTGGAATTTTTCAAGAGTATTGCAGTGAGTTACAGTAGGAAGATAAAACTCTAATTACTAAATTCAATATTCAGATTTTAATACTAATTAAGTTTTGTCTCATACATTTCTCTGAAATTCTACAACTCTTGTAAATGCTTACCTGGGATTATCTGAGAGTCGAAGGTAACACCTTACTACATGTTTTAGCAGACGGGCAGAAGGCTCTTTGGATAGCTGCAGGACCATTTTACCCTGTTTTCTCCAAAACGGGATGAAGAAGGGAGGGGAAAAAAACGCCCATATATATTTATATTATTACATATGCAACTTCTAATAACACATAATAATAGAATTTAAACTAAATATTGCAATCCGGTATTCCAGGAATCACTTATCTAAGATTATCTCAGGGCTGTTTTTTTTCTTGGTTTGGAAGTCAGGTGCTGCTCAGCGCCTGAGGCAAAGGAGTTAAACTGTGTGATCAGTTATATGCAGAAAGGGATAAATGAGAGAACTCACCAATATCATGGCAACATGGGAGAAACGCTCATATGTCTGACATATATAAGCCAAACCAGTGTCATCTAACAGGATCTTCTGGAGGATGAATGTGGCAACCTGGAGTAGAACAAAATTAAGAAGTACAGAAGGGAGCTCACACTTTTTTTTACCTGTACATCTTCCCAGGAGTGACGATCCACCAGAAAGTCGAGTAAACAGTTTACACATGGTCATGGACAGGAAGGCAAAAATAGGGCAAATTAGGAAGCTACATAAGACACTTTTTATATAGTTACGACATAGTCTGAAAAATATGCAATAAATTAAAAAATTCACAGTCACAAGTCAATTCCAATTTACAGCAACCCTTATCACCCTTTAGGACAGAGTATAACTATAACTGCCCCATAAGGTCTCCAAGGCGGTAAATCTTTACAGAGCAAACTGGCACATCTTTCTCCTACCCAGTTAGGCACAGTACAAAAAACTTAAATACTATTATCAAACTGAATCCTTACTAAACACTCCAATTTTTTTTTCAGGAAGTCTTACCCTATTTTCACAATCTATAAAGGTATCAGTATTACTTCTATTTTACATAAAATGGTAAGCTCAGTTGAAATATCAGAGTCTTAAACACCTGGAGACTTTCTCAGATACTAAATTGAGATCAGGTGAGTTGTAAGACGACATCATCCATGAAGAAAGCAAAAGATCATCACAAAGAAAGAAAAAAACAAAACTGATGTCAGAGACTGAAACTTGCACCAGAATGTAAAGCAGTTAAAACAAAGGGAAGAAATAATGAAATAAAAGAATAGTATAGTGAAATATGCAAAGAGTTCGAGTTAGAAAACCAATAAGGAAGAACATGTTTGACACTTCTCAAGCTGAACTAAGTGAAGAACAAACTAAAGTCTCCAATCGCAATACTGAAAGATTCTAAGGACAAAAATATTCAATGATGCAGGAAGCTTTGAAAGAAGACAATGCTGAATATCTCACTCACCAATACGACAAATATGGCCTAAGGTCATTGCTAAAACGAGAGGATGGACAAGGGGTAAAGGCAGGAGGGGTGGGCAGGGAAGAAAAGGAAATATATAGAAGGTAAATGAAGAGTGCACTGGAAGAGGTGAAGGGAAGGACAATCTGAAAGGATGATTAGACAGTTTACATATGACAACTGACAATCTGGAACACGAAAAGCAGTACAAAGTGAAATGAAGGAGGAAAAGATGTGTGTGTATGAATGAACGAAAACCAATCTCTGTAAATGTTCACTAAAGTCATACACACTCAAAAGGATGGAAGGGATACACAGAATCATTGTATCATTGTCAAAAAAAGAATTGGTCTACACTGAAGGATGCATGATATCCAAAATGCACTGAAGACACTGGAAAAAAAAATAAGGCCCCAGAAATTGATGGGATATCTATTCAGGTATTTCAGCAAACAGATACTCTGGGCATGGTTGTTTGGAGAGGCTGGTCCCTGGAAAAAAAAATCATGGTTGGAAAGGAGGGTAAACGGAAGGGAGGGAGATAGTCAACAAAATCGATCAACACAGTAAATGCAGCAACGGGCTTGAAGATACTATCTAGGGATGGTGAGGATGGCACAGGATAGGGCGAGGTTCAGAGCCGTTGTTTATAGGATTGCTATGAGTCATAGACCACTCCACATCACCTGACAACAACAACATATATATCTAGGAGTGAGACTGCCGGGCTGAAGGGTAGGCTTTTGTTTTAGTTGATAATGCCTGCCCAACAGCTTTCTAAACTGGTTACACCATTCATTCATCAAAGAGCTCTTGTGACATAGTCTCAGTGTTATACAAAAGACACAAAAGTCTCAAGTCTCTAGCAGTTCAAATCCACCATTGGATCTTGAAATATGGGCAACCTCCTCCTATTAAGATTTACAGCCTCAAAAACCCAATGGAAAGCTGCTATGAGTTAGAATTGACAAGATAGGAGTGAGTGAATGATTCACTCATTGAGAGAATGAAAAACAAACAAACAAACAAACCCTAAAAACAAAAGAACAAGTGCCCAGATTTCATCACCTCAGAGAACGGTTAGAAATGGACACCTTAATTTAAAAGCACTTCAGAGTTGTGATCAAGAACCTCTATTTTACTGGGTCATTGCAAATACATTCTATAAGAGACACAAACGCAGGTTATACACATGGACTTCACCTGATGGTATGCATAGGAATCAGATCGACTACATATGT